CAGTTATTGGTCTCATTTTATTTCTGGGCTATTGAGAAAAGAGCCATTGTGTACAGCTGGGAAGGTTGTGCACTGCACCACTCCAGATGCGCGAGGCACGACAACTGCAAATGATGGCCCTGGATCATGTTGGGGAGGAAAAATGTTTCCTCTACTCTTCTAGGTTCTTCTGGCTGGTGTAAGAATTAAATTGACATGAGACAGATTAACAGGAGAAAATCAAATTTAATTTTGTATGTGTGGGGGCTCCATGAGAACATAAGGCCAGCCAATAATCAGGCAATTGAGGCTTATGTGACATTTTTGAGCTAAAGAGAATGGGGTATGGGTCTGGGACTTCAAAGTGGAGGAAGACAATTCAAAGAAAGTTAAAAAGAGCAAATGGTTGGTAAACAAATGTATGCTGTTCCTGCAGAGAAGCCTTTCTTATGTAAAACAAAGTTATATTTGGTGATAACTCCCTTCTTGGTGCAGGCTCCCTATCTAAATTCTTTTGGGTAGCTAAGGGGGAGATAAAAAGAAAAACTTATTAAGTCTTCTGTTTCTTAAAAGTAATCAGCCTAAAATAATCCTCATGCCAAAGAGCAACATTTTGAGGTGGCAAATTTTGCTCCCCTATAATCGCTACTTTTGTTCAGTGGAATAAGCAGACGCTCATAATGTATGTATAATTTTATGTTGCTGACCAAGCGGCTGAATAAAAAGAATAGTGGGAGAACAATCCTTAGACCCTGTGTTTTCATTCTCACACTTCCTAATTCCCCATTCTTATTTCATGTCTTCTGGTAGGTTGAATAATAGGTGATCTTGCTGATCTCTTAATATTTCCCCTCCGTCTCTCTCTTTCTCATTCTCTCTCTCCCTCTCCCCCCCATCTTCCTTTCCCCCTTCACTCTCTTTCTCACTCACACACACACAGACACACACTCACAGCTGTTTTGAAATATCCCCAAGTTCCTAGTAAAATGTTGTATGATCTGATAAAGACCACCTTTGTGAAGCTATTGATTTGGGTGGGTTTTCTGGGTGGTCTCCTAGAATGAATATGGAAGTAAGTTATATCTGAAATTCCCTTTGCTGTAACTAAGGGAAATATCTCCTGATCTCAGGCAGCAATTAATTTAATTCACTTTTTTGGGTTAAAATCACAGGTGATTATATTGCTACCCAATGTTAAAATATAAAAATAAAGTTAGAAAGAGAACTTTAGAAAAGATTTCTCCTGAACTGCTGAAGGAAACCTGATTCACCCTCAATATCTGAAATAAAGCAGGGGGTAGTTGACATTTTTACTCTGAATGTGTAAGAGCAATGGCTGTGTTTCATGCCCTAGGATTCTAGGAATGTGAGCTGTTAATATTCCTGCAAGTGGTATTCCTGCCAATTCTTTATGACTTCAAGGTACAACTTTTGCAAGCATCATTTTTATTGATATATTTTAAACAATAATGTTTTCATGTGTTGCCCCTTTTTATTTTAACCAATTCTTATTTATACATAATATTGAAAAATAGCTGAAAGTAATAAAAGTCACAAGGGAATAGTAGTAAAAGGATACTTTTATAAAATAGGGTTTTTGTATGTTGTTATTGCCTAAAATTATTTGGCTACATTTCCCAGGAACAAACTGTCATGACTTGGGTTAAGGTGCCTTTCTTTACCTTTAGAACACAGTGTATTTGTGTACATGTATGCCAAAAGGAAAAATTATTTCAAGTGTAACTATTTTTAACGTTGTTAGTGTCCTTTTCTAGTATCTCTTAGATTGGTAAGTTGTATGGTCTTGTTAGAGAACTGAAATTTATCTGGGAAGACGATCGAAGTGATTTTGTGTTAATAACATAGCTGTCCTTTCTCCAGATGTGTATATTTTTGACCCTGGGGGCTGAAATCCTAAAAGAGAGAGTATCAAGATGTAATGCCATTTCAAAGCTAACTACATTTGCTCTTCATTTTACGTTATGGTTAAGAGGCCTTCTGAATTGATGAATTTTATTTGCTCAATAAACTGTCTCAGTAGCATATTGTAAGGAAGCCTGATAGATTGTAAATGTATGCTATAGAGCAAATATACCCAGTTCCCACCTTTCCTGAGTTGTTCCTCATTTTAGTGGGCATTGCGTGCTTTACCAAATATCCCTTAACTGTTTTGTCATTGGCTCCTTTGTATTCATCACTTGCCTTTATGTTTTGGCCAGCTGATTTACCTTCTTTTCCCCTGTTCAATACCGCAAAAAAGGCATATCTTGGCTTATTGCCCCCTGAAATACACTGTATGGCTAATACTTCTCTATGATCAAATTTTTCCCAGATATCTGAAAAGAAATGCCAATGAGGATTCTGGCAAGAAACATTCTAAAACAGACTTTCAGTGTTTTAAGTGTTTAAAGCCAAATCTGGAAAATAGTTTTAACTCCATGTTCACTAGATCTTAAATTATTTTTTATTATTTGAATTTCCTCATTAGATCTAGAAAACAATCTAACCCAATCAATCAAACCTTTTTCAAGCTGTCAGTACAAATTATTTCTTCTCTAAGGTTTAAGGGAAATTTTCAGCTAGATGAAGGAGACTAACAAACCAACAAAGTTCTTAAGGTCTAATGTGAAAAACTAGTAACAGCCAATATGTTTTCAGAATGGAATGGAGAAAAAAGAATTAAGATCTGACTACTTATGCTTCTGACCATTATACGTTAACAGGGACCTCATAAACTCTCCTATCTTAAGCAACTAGAAACTGGACAAAAGTATATAAAACAATATTATCCAGGCTTTGGACAAAGGCAGCACAGGACTATGATAGCTGAGGGAAGGATAATAAAAGAGGAGTCCTGTTGTTGTGCCAGCTTACTTCCCGAAGGTGGTATCCAGATCACAGAGCAGGGAGGGGAACCCAAATAGAGTCCAGCAGTTGTGCTGAGTTATAGAGAGTGAAATCAAAGTTCAGGAAAGATTAGAGGTCTAAAATTTTTCAGAGTACCAGAAGGGAATGAAGTACAGAGAGAGAGAGAGAGAAAATGAATGAGAGAGAGAAAGAATGAGAGAATGCGAATGAACACTGGACCTCACAGTGGCGTCTCCCCCAGGGTTTGGTAGAGGACCTAACTGTACGTGTATGAGAGGAAACAAGCAAAGACCTAGGAAAGAAGCACCAGACAGGAGTATGACAAATAACCCTAGAATTCACACAAGTTTGAGAAGACTTTGTATTCTCCCCAGCTAGAGTGAAGAGATCGCTTAATACAGGAGGCATTTGTTAGAGTTCAGAAAAGTGTATTTCTACAGGACTCATATTAAAATTAGCCCTAGACAACAAGCTGTTCCCTACCTTCTTTAACATAGCTTATAAGAAAGTCTCGAAAGTAACTTGATTGTCTGCCATTATGAAGTCATACACTATTTGAAATCCAGCAAACAACAATGTGTAATTCAAAATGTCTACCATCCAGAAAAAAATTACCAGGCATGTAAAAAGCAGCATAATATGACTCATATCCAGGAAGAAAAAAAATCGATTAATAGAAACATACCCCAAAATAACAGAGATGATAAAATTAGTGGACAAGAATATTAAACTGTTATAAATATGCCCCATAAATTTAAGGAGGTAGAAGAAAATCTAAATATGATGAGAAGAGAAATGGTAGATATAAAAGATACCAAATGGAACTTCTAGAGATGAAAAATGCATTATCTGAAATAAAATATACTACATAGGATTAACAATAGATTAAACACCATAGAAGTAAACATTGGTGAACTTGAAAGCATAGCAGTAGCAGTTAATTAAATGCAAAATGAAGAGCCAAGAGTTAAAAAGACTTAAAGAGGGGCTGGCCCCGTAGCCGAGTGGTTAAGTTCACGCACTCCGCTGCAGGCGGCCCAGTGTTTCGTGGGTTCGAATCCTGGGTGCGGATATGGCACTGCTCATCAAACCACGCTGAGGCAGCGTCCCACATGCCACAACTAGAAGGACCCACAACAAAGAATATACAACTATGTACTGGGGGGCTTTGGGGAGAAAAAGGAAAAAAATAAAATCTTTAAAAAAAAAAACACTTAAAGAATAAACAGAACATTAGTAATCTGTGGTAAAAAAGAAAATGATCCAGCTTGTGTGTAATTGGAGTCCCAGAAAGAAAAGGGGAGGCAGGCAAATATTTTTAGAAATAAAAATTGTCCCAAATTTAACAAAATGATAAAGACCAATGAACACTGAACAGGAGAAACATAACGAAAGTCAAATTGCTAAAAAATGAGTCAAAAGAGAAAAATTGTAACAAAAGCTCGACAAAATAGATACAAAACATAGGAAAAAAGATCAGATTTACAACAGACTTCTCCATAGAAACTGTGCAAGTTAAAAATAATAGAGTGGACTCTTTAAAGTACTGAAGACGGAAAATTGTTAACTTAGAATTCTGTACTCAGAAAAAATTCATTTCAAAAATTGAGGTTAATAAATTCTCTTTCAGTCAAACAAAAGCTGAGCTGGTTAATCACCAGTAAGTCTGGAGTAAAGTAAATGTTATGGGAGGTTGTTCAGGGAGAAGGAAAATGACACCAGATGGGAATTTCCATCTATACAAAGGAAGGGAGATACGAAATAGTAAATTTGAGAAATAGTTACCAGAAATAGAAATTATGTGGATAAATATAAAATGTGTTTTATTCATTTTTATTTTTCTTTAAAAAGTAATTGACAGTTTAGAACAAAATAATAATGTGCTATTTTAATGTATATTGAAGAAAATATATGACACTAATAGCACAAAAACGTGAGGGGAACATGAAAATAAAATATTATGAGGTTTGTACATTATACAATCATGTGTCACTTAACCACAGGGATACATTGTAAGAAATGGGTTGTTAGGAGATTTCATCATGCGAACGTCCTACAGTGCACTTACACAAACCTGGATGGTGTAGCCTACTACACACCGATGCTATATGGTACTAATCTTCTGGAACTACTGTCATATATGTGGTCTATCATTGACTGAAACGTCATATGCGGCACATGACTGTGTATAAAGTAGTTTAATATTATTTGAAGATATACTGTAATAAGTTAATGATTTAAATGCTAAATTATAGAACAACCATTAAAAAATGTTGATACAACACTATCTATAATTAAACAAATAGTACAGATAAAAGGGAATCAAACAAATTTAATTGATCCAATGGAGGTAGGAAAGGGGAAAAAGAATAAAGAACAAATAGGAAACTAACGGTAAGATGAAGCTGGCAGTCTTAAACCAATCATATCAATAATTACATTAATCTGAAATGATCTAAATACTCCAATTAAAAGGCACAGATTGTAAGAGAGAATAAAAGATCAAGATGAAATTTAGCCAGGTTGGAATTTTCTTATTGCCTGAAACTCTACCTTGCCTTTGGAAGACAGTGTGTTTCAGGAGTCATTGCCACTTTTCCTGTTCCATTTGATGGGAAAAAATAAGTAATTTGTCGCATTTTAATTTTCAGGATTTTTCCCCAGAGTTCAATTCTGTTAACCCTTGTGATCTGGACCAAACTCTTCAATTGTGCTTCTTGACCTTACCGAATAATTCTCAAGGCTGTTATGGTTCTTATAACACTAGTAGCTAACATTCATTGAGCATTTACTATGTGGCAGATTCTGTTCTAATGACTTCCTACATTTATTTCCTTTAATTCTCACAGCTACTTTCTGAAGGAAGTACAGTTATTTTTTTTTCCATCTTACCGATAGTGAAACTGAGACACAGCAACTTCCAAATTCACGCCACTAGTAAATGAGGAAGCAGAGATTTGACTACAGGCAGTCTACCTTTAGAGTCCATTTCCTCAACCGTCAAACTGCAAATCCTCTAAAATACAGATCTTAAATTTTAGTGTATAGAAGAATCAATTTATTTAAATTCAGTTCTCAGACCTCTCCCACTCCCATATGATTCTTATTTGGTGGGTTTGGGATGAATCCAGTAACCTATATTTTTAGCAAGCCCTCAAGGTGGGGGTTTTTTGAACTCAGTTTGAGAAACCCCATTTTCTGTGACTTTAAGCTAGTTACTTAATTTGTCAGGGCCTTTGTCTCCTATTCAAAGGTGATATCCTTTTAGGATGAAATGAGATGACAGCTCCTGGCACATGGTAAATCCTCTATAGTAAGTAAACTTGTTTTTGTTGCTCTTGGTGGTAGATGTTATTTCATGGAATCAGTCAACTGTGGCAATTACTTTGAACCCTATCCTTCAGTTGTAGTGAAATTATATTGTCTAATGAACAAAAGTCATTTCAAAGTGGAAAGACATCTTACTGAATGTGAACACTTTTTTCAGTTTGATTGTATCAGGAATCACAGTGTGTTCTGCTCCAACATCTGTTCCTAAAATACTAATTAGCTCACTTGTAATTGGTAAATATAGTTATGTTGGTATAATGTAGAAGTTGTGCAGCTTTATATGTGATTTATCCTGAGCCAGGGGTGGCAGAATCGTCACAGTACGATTATAGCCTTGATTGGGAAGAGAAGCTCTCAGCTTTGATGCTGTATAGTCAACAGGAGCCCTTTTGGCTCAGTTTGAAGAAAATTTAAAAAAACAAATGTCTGTAACTGGGGCATACCCTTGTCTTGTGTGGGTCTTCAATATTTGTAGATTTCACTGCCTCCTGTGCACGTTTCAATGGCGAGCCTATTGGCTCAGAGTTTGCCTTCCAACTGGATTTGTTCCACCAATTCTAATTAAAGTATTGCCAGGACTTCTACTCAATTGTTTTTTGTTTTTGTTTTCATTTTAGCTCTGGGCTAAGCTCCTTACTTGGGTGGTCCAAATTATCTTCCGAGATACCAATATTATTTTTGCTAGTGATCTGCTCCCAAAGTGGCATATATTTTGAGTGGTCTTCCCAGAACCTGTTCTCCCCACATGTCCTATTATTTTAGGTATGCCATTTTGTTTGCAATGTGAGCATTACAGGATGTATATATCTTCTCATATAGTTGAAACCCCGTTTTGGGAACATGAACACCTCCAGCTCTGCAATACTGATAGTTTCTGGAAGGGAAAGTGTAAGTGGTTTGTAAATTATAAAGTAACTTCCTCAGAGTGATCATTTCATTTCTTTATCACCACTAGTGTTGTATTTGTTTCCTATTATCCCATTGTGTAAAGCCCACTTGGGTTACTTCTTTTAAAAGTTGGCAAGATTTCTAACTCGTATTTGAATTTTTTCTATGCTTATATCAGAAACATATAAATTTAACTTTACTTATTGGCTCTTTTATCTGTAAATTACTCCTTCTCACCTAAAAGAACATAACAATTTATAGAGCTGGAAATAGTAGACAAGGAAAATCATTTCTTTCCTATAGAGAGAGACTTTCTACAATAATGGTTAGGATTCTCATAATTGCCTCCATTTATTGAATGTCCACTAAATGTCCACTCATTTTTCTAGGATCATCACTTGAATATTACTAATTCTTAAAATCTTTGATAAATATAACATAGATTTTCTAAATAAAAAAACAGGAGTAAATCTGTCTGGTTCTTATAGAATTCTTCAACAGAAACATGAGGGATATGAAATCAAGTAATTTCCTGTTATTAGATAGGAAATAGCTATTGAAATCTCAACACTGTCCCATAAGTAGGTATTTACTAAATGATGGGGAAATTTCTTTGTGTACACATTGTCTAAATACAACTACTTTCAAGACAATAATGCACGTACATTACATATTTTCTTATAAGCTTATCCCTTGCTTTTGTTAAAGATCCTGACATATTTTAACCACAAATGGAACATGCTCTGATTGTAATAAAATAATTTTATGGATAGAACAGCATTGTTTATTGTCAGTGAGTATACATTTGGACACTTTTTGTGGATTTTAAGTTGGACTTAATGAACTTGAATAATAATGTTATTTTAGATTGTTTCTAAGATGGTTTTTAAAGTTACTTGAAATAGTACAGGCTCTGCCACTTTCTAATTGCATTATTTTGGTCAAATTACTCAAAAGAATCTGAGTCTTAGTTATCCTTTCTCTAAAGTGGAGAAATAAGTGTGCCTATTCTTGAATCATTCCACTGGTTAAGTGCGATCATGTAGTAACTTCTCTGTAGTACTTTCCACATATGTATTGGCTGGGAATATTTTTATCATCATAGTTATTAAATTTAGAAACAATGATTACTATATATCTAGTGCCCTGCCCCCTGTGTTTACTATATTTTCATAACCTATGCAGGCGTGGTCTGCTGAATGATTTAGCAGCTTTAGCTAGTTGCACTATTGCATGAATTTAACCTGATTTCATGGGATGAAACCGAATGAACACCACGGTTCATGGCTGTCAGTAGTGAAAAATAGCTGGAAATCAGACAAACAGCTTCATTGCTGAGATTGTTTCCGGGCTAAAAGTTCTTCCAACAGCTGTTTGTTTTGGCCATTAATCGTGTCCATTCTTTTTTTTTTTTTTTAAGCTGGGGGAAATACAATTTTCTTTAAAAAGAGCATTTAGGCTGGTTATTTCTGAAGTCAGGAAGAGCGCCTGTCCTTCCACTATTGTGGTCTTTTGGCTGCCTTGACAGTTGGACTGAAGGACTTTTCCTTTTGTTTTCCTCCTCTTTTTTACTCTCAATGCTCAGAGTCAGACTGCTGTAGGGAGAAGTAAGGTAAAACTAGGAGCTCTTTAATCCTAGAGAAGGAGCTTTGTAGCAGTTACCTTCAAGAAAGTTTACTCCCTAAAGGAGTATTTAATATTACATAGACACTGACTCACTGAACAGAGAAAGAGAGGGGGAGAGAGGATATGACAGAATGAGAGTCTAAGAAGTCAAGCCAGCAAGAAAGAAAGATACTTAACTAAAGATGAAGGAAAGTTTTGCCTCTTCCTGAAAGTTATGTTATTAGTTGTTTTTTTCTTTAATCATGATGACTGCTAGTTTTGTTTAAAGTATTTGTTCTGGAAATACTAAAGTTGGAGTCTACCAGACTGAGGTTAGAGGCATTTTCTTTGGCAGCAAGAAGATACTTTTATAGAAGCCATGCCTGTACTTGGGGTTGCCTCAAAACTGAGGCAGCCAGCTGTTGGGTCAAAGCCTGTTCATACTGCTCTTCCGATACCAAATCTTGGCACTCCTGGGTCACAGCACTATTCTTCAAGACCTTTGGAACTTACTGAAACCGAGAGCTCAATGCTTTCTTGTCAGCTTACATTAAAATCAACCTGTGAATTTGGAGAGAAGAGACCCCTCCAAGGAAAAGCTAAGGAGACAGAAGAGAGCAAGGTTAGTGGCTGAAGGTTACCTGCAGCCTTATGCAGATAAAATGCAAATTTTCTTTAAGGTGGAATATAAAGCATGTTTTGAAGTGGGGAGTAGCAGAGGAACACCGGTGTAAGAAAGTAAGTAGTTTGTATAGTTGAAAAGCTGATTGTTTAGCCTTTTTTTAAAACTGTATTTACATTTTATAATTGTTGTAAAGTGAACAAAATTCTCTGACTATGCATATGTTGGTATCATTTACTACTACTTATTGATGAAGTGCCTTGTTAGGCCTTGCTATTGCTCTATTACCGGTAAGCATAACCAATCACAAATATGAGAAAACGGGGACCTATTTTCCATACATATTACAATCAAAGAAGGAGATTTATTTGTAAAACTCCATACAGACACCATCACTTTTCTCTAAATGTCATTTGCATTTTAAATACTCTCTATTTGAATATGTGTATCCTAGACTGCTTAATTCATTGCAGTATGAAGGAAAATGAAATATTTTCCTTGATACTGCACATTTGTCTGGGTTTTCACTTGCAAATTGAACCTCTGCTGTTTCACTTATTACTGACATCTTTTTCAATCATTCAATTTATGATATTTTGTGAGCAGTCGCTCATAGCTCTTGGTTTTTAAGCCACATACCATCATTTTCTCCAGTCGCTGAGGGAGATCATAGCCTTTCAGTTGATGAACTTCCTGGGGATTCATTTGTACCTTGATAAACATCACTGTTTAATGCAGCATTAACTATAGTGTTAAGCTTTCCAAACTCACCATCCTCTGGCTTCTTAGGGAATAAATTTGATTTTACTTTCTCACGCAAATGTAATTTAAAAATGATTTAAGAAAAAACTTCAGAAAGCCACTCGTTTTGTCTGAAGTGTTCATTCCATTTGTCTTTACCTGTTCCAGTCCTCTCAGGTGCAGCCCAAATGCAACTTTCTTCATAAAGTCTTCGCCAGCTACCTTTTTCTCTCCTTCCTCTCCTGTGATTCTTTGCCTGTAACAATAGTTATAGGACATTTATTCATATTGCATTTTAATTATATGGAAAATTTATTTCTGTCCCCACTAAATTGAAAATATATAGAAGACAGGGCCTAATTCTGTGCTTCAGCTCCCTCTCCCCCCATGCTTTATGCATAAGAATTACATAGTAGTTGAATGACTAATACGTGAATGAATGAATCGATGAATGAACAAACGGTAATCCTGAGAAAGACTTAGTTAAGTTTTGTAGTCTCTTTGGATCATGTAATCTATAAAACATTGGGTTTGGAATGAATGATTTTGAAAGTGCCTCTAGATCTAAAATTATATTATTCCCTTTCCGTTTTAGGAAAGCATTGTCTATGCAAGAAAAATCAGTTAAAAGAAAATAGTTAATTATAGGCTTAAAGTTCTCAGTCCAATGTAAGCAATTCAGGATTAAAGTAGGGAAGTGTAAATTATCAGCAAAAGACTGAAAATATTTAACTTTATGCAAATAATTAAAAGTGGACACCATACAATTCTGTTCTAATTTCTTGTGTACCCACAATGACTTGTCTGGATTAGATGGAAAGAATAGATAAACCCTTTTCCTCTGCTGACCATGGATATCATCTCTGCAGGTTAGTCAAACCTCTACTTTGATAAACGGCCTTGGCCTAAGACTTGACTGCTGTTAAGTGCTGTTTTCAGTAGAATTTTGGTTAATCTCTTTGGTTAGCAAGCATATCAATCACACATCTGATGTTCCAATAAGACTCTGCAGTCGGGGCTGGCTCAGTGGCCGAGTGGTTAAGTTCCCGCGGTCGGCTGCGGCGGCCCAGGGTTCGGATCCTGGGAGCGGACATGGCACTGCTCGTCAGGCTGTGTTGAGGCAGCGTCCCACATCCCACAACTAGAAGGACTTGCAACTAAGATGCACAACTGTGTACAGGGCGGGGTTGGGGAGATAAAGCAGAAAAAAAAAAAAAGATTGGCAACAGTTGTTAGCCCTGGTGCCAATCTTTAAAAAAAGAAAAAAAGGACTCTACAGTAAGCAATGTTGTATTTATAGGGATGTTTTTACCATGCCACTTATCAGATTGAAAACTTTTTCAAACAAATGTAAGGAATGCCTGGTCAGCATTTCAGAATATTTTTAAATGTTAAAAAAGTGTATTTAAAGATTTTCATAAACTTTTGAAAACTAGAACTGAAGAAAAGAGCAAAAATGATCAAAATAGTTGTGTTAGAGATCATTAGATTTGGCTGCAAATAGTAGAAAATTCAACATAACAATAGCATAAACAAGAAAGGAATTTCTTTCTTTTTCACATAAAGGATATCTGGAAGCAAGCAGTCCGTGGCTCACAGGGTGACTTCATGGAGTTGTCAGGGAACTAGGCAGGCTCTTTCTGTTTTGCCCACCATCATAAGTGTGTGGCATCCCTTTCACAGTCTTGAGTGGATAATTGAGTTCCACTCCATTAAAAAGACACATCCTGTTTCATTAAGGATTCTTCCACATTGCACTAGCCTGTTTATAGTTCCAAGGCCTTATCTAGCTGCAATGGGGACTGGAAAATGTAGAGTTTATTCTAGGAAGCCATGTGCCCAGCTAAAAATTATGGGTTCTATTTCTAAGGACAAAGAGACCATGGATAGTACCCACAATAGATGACTGTCATTAAGAAACGTTTATTTGGAGTACTCTGCTGATCCTTGTATCAAACAGCCTCACAGTCTAGTTAAAAAGAACAGAGCTATATATGACAATGTCAGAAATGTGTCTTCGATCTGTCCGTGTTTTTGGTTAGTGTATATACCATCATTCTAGACCTCTAATCTTGAATTCCTTCTCTAATATCTAGTGATATACATTAGTATCTCACATCTCATCATTTGCTAGAAATTGGAGATTTTGCTTCTCTATTATAGCTTGGATTTATCCCCTAATGCACATCCTCATGCTTTGGCCCTTGTTTTCTATCAATTATTGCAATAATTCCAAATTGGTCTCCTTTCCTCCTGCCGCTCTTCACCACATGCATCCAACACATTCACCATCCTGCTTAATGAAAATCTTTAGTTACTTCTCACGTCTTAAAATTTTTTCATTCAGCGATTCCAGTCTCCCAATTGTTATCTCCTCTTCTTTCTTAGTTCCATCTGTTATATTCCAGATGTCTCCTTCCTGGGTGTCCCAAGTTCTTCAAACTGCTTAGTTTCATTGTCCTTAGTGAATAAATACTTTAGTTCCACCAGATTCCATGTCACATACGTTTGCAGTCTCCACCATGATATCAAGGACTTATGTTTTCTTTAACGACCTCTTGTTCTGATTTATTACTTTCTTTGAATTTTCTAATGTCTCTCCTCACATGAATTTGTTTTTCCATTCTTGCTGGGTGTTCACCCAAATGAGAAAGAGAGTGACTTTGCTTTGGAAACTTAAGAATCTGGAAATTAAAGATAAGAAAGAGTGTTTCTTATCACGGCTCAGCAAATAACATAGAATTAAGCGTTGGACGTCCCTGTTCATGACAGTTCCTCGGCCATACCTACCACTGAAGACCCCTTCCCTGGCCTTCACTTTTCAACCTCCAGCCTCCTTCCAACTTGGTCTGTCACCTCACTTTACCTCTACTCTCATTTGTAATTTCTTTCCAGTCTTGGGCTCACTCATTCCTTCCTTCTTGGATTACTTGTACACACTCACAATTCTTTTCACATTATTATAGAAAACAACTTTTTGATCACCTACCTTGTACTTTGTAGGCAATTCCTGATTTTATTCTCCTGATATTTCAAAGAAGGCATTATTATCCACATCTACAGAGAATAAACTGAGGCTTCGATAAGGTGGGAGACACTCATAAGATCAGACAGTTAACTAGTACCACAATCCAGAATTTGAATTTGTTTGTCCCTACAAAGTCTTTTGTATTTATTACTTTACACTCTCTTCAAGATATACACTTGCAATATTTTTTCTAGGTATACCCTATCCTTCAAATTTCACCCACTCTTTTAGACTCAGTTCAAAAATCAAAGAAAAGAGTAAACAAATTGTTGTAGAGGTTAAAAGGAAGAAAAGTTTACACCCGGTTGGGGAGATGTACAGAAAATTCTTGAAGAGTAGGGGCATTTATATACATGGTAGTATGGATGTTTGTTTAATCTGCTTACTCTACTAGTTTTCAGGACAATCAGGTAGAGATTATTTCGTACTATTTTGTTCACATAGTGCTAGCACTAATGCTTGGAAAACAGAAGATACTCAAAAGCTTTAAATTGAACATTTTTTAAAAACATAAATAGTGATATAGACAAATATATTTTATGAATAATATTGCTAATGAGAGCAATTACTTTTCAGAGTTTTAGGTCTGAGGGAAATCCTATTTGGATGGAGCATTCAGAAAAGCCTTCATCCAGTAGTTGGAATTTAATGGGCAGAGAGGATTCAGATATAGAGAGAAAAAAGCATTCTTTTGAGGAGAGAATTGTGTGGAAGAATAGCCAATGAAGAAACCATTATAATTCGAGAGACTATTTATGGAAATGAACAGTTTTGGGTCAGATGATAGATGGAGGCAGACTTCATTAGGAAGACAAAGGGGAAGGCTCTTATGTAAGAATGAGACAAAATTACACTGTCAGTGATATTTAGGAGAAATCATACCAGAGGGACTAATACTAACTAATGTTTATAGAGGTTTGCTATGTGCCAGGTACTGGGTTAAGCATTTCACGGAGTAGCCCATTCAGTCCTCACAATAGCCTTGTGATATAGGCACTATTATCATCCCCTTTTTACAGATAAAGAAACTGAGGCTGAGGGAGTATAAATTACTTGCCAATATCTCAATGTTAGAGTGTGGTGGAACATGGATTCAAACTAAGGCTGTGTGGTTCGAGAAGACGTTACTCTTAACCAATAAACAGCACTGCAACAATGAAGACTCTGCTGGTGTCAGAGGGAGAGGAGAAGGGCTATTGGTTGACTTGATTTCTATATATACTGGTAAGGT